ATATATATATAGGAGAGTTATAATAACATCGGTGTAACTTTTACTAAATATTACACCACTCAATAACTTTATATTAATTGTGAATTTTGTAAATCCAACCGTTACATTAAAAGTTCATATATCTTAGATCATATATACAAAATGTTATATTAATAAAAAATGATTTGATACTTCATTTTTATAAAACAAAATTGACGTAATATATTCATTTTAAAATATACTAAAATATGAACATTTTGATTACCTTCAAATTGTTGTTCAATTTTGACAAATTTGACATACACATATAAAATGATATGAACTTTCAATCTAACGATTGGATTTACAAAATTCACATTTAATATAAAGTTATTCAGTGGTGTAACACTTGGTAAAAATTACAACTGTGTAATTATAACCCCTATATATATATATATATAAATAGGTTTCATTATAATTTATTTGTATATGTGGTTGCAAAAATACAATAATATTCAATATATTTCTAAATTTTCATCGATTATATTTAAATTTTATATTAGGATTGTAATTAATAACGAATTTAATGTATTAATTCTTAATATTATTTTAAAATATAATAATTATGTTGAATATTTATAAAATTTATTTTTTAAAAAAATATGTGCATATTTATATATATATATAAAATATATAACATAAATAGAATAAATACAATTATTTTTTCAAATTCAAATATATTTTTCCTACGTTGGATTGATTACTAAACTAATAGATGTACTTATACACATTTTTTTCTTCAAATATAATGCATATTAAATATTCCTTAGTGATTTGGCCTTTCATATTCATTTAATACTATTAATAATTAATACTTTTAATATTCATTTATATAAATATTACATCAATGAAATTAGATGCATACATTATTATTATTATTATTATTATTATATTTCATAAATATTGTATTTCATAATTTTATTAAAGTTAATTGTATTTAGTAAATACAATACAATACAAAAATATTACTCCATCCATTTCTTTTTAATTTTTAACTTTTTTTTTCATATTTTATTTTTTTTATTTATCATTTTAAATTTTAAGATAATATTAATTATTTTTTATTATCAATCATACCTTTACATATCACTTAACTTTTAATTAATAAATAAATGAAATAGAATAATAATTTTATAAAATTAACCTTATAATTTTTTTTTTATAGAAATAATGTAACATAATAATCACTTTTTAAAGAATATTATTAGAAGTATAAATAGAAAAGAAGCAATTAGTACTATATTATAAATTAAAATCACATTTATTTTGAGACTTATTTATTTTTTCTTGTAAAATAAAATTTATTTAAAATTTATTATGGATCGGAAGATGTATATATTATACATTATTTCATAAATCTTGTATTTATTATTTTTATTGAGATTACTGGTATTTAGTAAATCCAATACATAAATATTTTAGTCAATAATATACTATTAAATTTAATGGTATATTATATTTAATGAATATATTAAATATATGATACTATTTAATAAAATATTTAAATGTATAATGGATATAATTAATTAATTATATTCTATTAAATTTAATGATATTAAAGATATAGTACACTTTAATAACATTAATTAATATTTAATAATTTTTTTAATTTATGTAAAATAATATATTAATGACATTAAAGACACATTTTATATACTTCCTTTGTCCTAAAACGATTGAAGTTTAACATTTCAAAAAAGTTTTAAAATAACTGTTCTCATTTTTTAAACTAATATTAATTATTTTTTTTTAATTTTCTTCTTCCTAAATTTTTCAACATTTTAAAGTAATCATTTAATTAAGGAAAATTATTTTAATAAAATTTTATTAAAAAATAGTATATTATTATTATTATTATTAATTTCTATATAAAAATTTTATATTGTAATCATTTTAGGATGAAGGGAGAATATACTTTGTCCGTTCCATAATACTTAATTGTCGTCTTTAATTTTTTTTTTTTACACAAATAAAAAATTATAAATATATTAAAGAAAAATATATTTTTACAAAATTAACGATCGTAAATAGAAAAAAATATTAATGTTATAATAAAAAATTAAAATAACACTTATTTTAAAATCTAATTTTTTCTTTATACACGACATTTATTATATTACGAAGAGAATATTATATTTCATAAATCTTGTACATTATGTTTTTATTAAAATCAGTAGGTTGGTTCGCTCGTTAATTATATGTTGTAAATACAATTAACAAATAATATTGTTTAATGTACGTTTATTAAACTATTAAATTAATAACATTAATTAACTAATAAGTAATTTTACATCATGAAATAATAAAATGTAAAATCGAAATTATAATGAAGTTAATGAATAATATATAAATTTTTAAATTATCAGGGGACACTGCTAATAATGAGAAGAAAAAAAATACATTAGCTCCTTACAATCACTTGATGAGTTTATTTATTTATTTTATTTTATTTGGTGAATTGTTAATTTTGTTCTTGAACGTTAGTCATACAAAATTAAAATTATTATCCGAAACGAACCAAGAACCCCGATATTTTTAATTCTATAGATGAAAATATTTTCTTATAAAGAACTTATGTGTTATCAATTTTTTTTTATAAAATTAATCATGCAAGTATCACGAGGTGCTTAATATTTAAATTGGACCATATCCAATGAGAAAGATTGGAGATCGTACCTTGGTTGAAGCAAGACTACCGCATTTGTAATTTTTTTAGTATATCATTAGCATGGTAACCACGTGCTTAAAATTTAAATTGATTTAATCTATACCTAATAGAATACATTTTAATAACCACCTTTTTTGTTTCTACTTTTTAGTGAACCTTTATGCTCTTGAATGTAAAAGGAAAAAATTCTTATATCTTTTACAATTTCTAATATTTACTTGTGTATAATTATTAGAGACACAATCCTTCTACTAGACAATAATGAAGAAAGAGTATATTTCAACGAGACTGCATATGCAACATTATTGTTGACTTTTTAAATTACTTTTTTCAGTTTTAAACATTGACTGTTTTAACATTTTTTTTCTTATAAAAAATTTAGTTATTTTGTTTTTTTATAAGATATAATTAAGATTTTTTTTGAACTATACTTTTATTTATATAATTGAAAAATGACTTTTATCAATGAATCTTATTTTATATATATAT